TGGCCTTTCATGTCATTTCACATACAAAACCTTGTGCATTAAAAATGCTGTCTTGGCTGGGCGCCGTGGCTCATGCCTGTAATCCTAGCACTCTGGGAGGCTGAGGTGGGCGGATTGTTTGAGCTCAGGAGTTCGAAACCAGCCTGAGCAAGAGTGAGACCCCATCTCTACTAAAAAATAGAAAGAAATTAATCGGCCAACTAAAATATATAGAAAAATTTAGCTTGGCATGGTGGTGCATGCCTGTAGTCCCAGCTACTTGGGAGGCTGAGACAGGAGGATCACTTGAGCCCAGGAATTTGAGGTTGCTGTGAGCTAGGCTGATGCCACCTCACTCTAGCCCGGGCAACACAGTGAGATTCTGTCTCGAAAAAAAAAAATGCTGTCTTGACTTTTTCTCACTGGAGGCATAACAGCTCTGCTCATTATTATTATATAGCTCAGTATAAAATGTACTTTGTTAAATAAACTCACAAAGCATAAAGGATTCTGATTCTAGATACCTCTGCATAATAATCACCTGTTTCTTTTTCAACAAGAAGGGTCAAGCTTAATGGATTTTAGGGTTACCACTATATATGCAAATGGGATTCCTACAAAATAGGCAACCATTTTTCACACTCTAACTGCCTTAAAAGTCAGTCAAGGAACATAAAAATTATTGTCACTAACAGAGTACTCAATTTCAGTTGGATATGACAACAAACCAATTTCATGTCATGTTTAAGTTATATTATTTGAGAATTGCTCACATTTTAAATTTAAGGCTGCACTTTTAAGACTTCAACTTTTTAAAAAATTGAAAATATTTAACTGTTACTCGACACATTTAACTATTACTTATTTATGTCAGAGTTAATTAGATCTGGAGGTTAAAAATGTCCGAATTTGAGGCCTACCACTGATTAGGCGTGTAACATTAGGCAAGTTATCCAGCCTCAGTAAACCTCAGGTTTTTTTTTTTTAATCTATAAAATAGAGATAACAATATTTACCTCATAGGGCTGTGATGATCAGATGAGATTATGCTTGGAAACCTGCCTGTCACATAGTAAGTGATATTATTGAGCACTTACTATCCTCGACAATGATGGTGACTCTTTCATAATCCTGACATGCCATTCTTGTCCTATATATACCAAAACTACTGAGGATGCTCCTCTACATCTCCACACAGGTACCCAACAGGCATCTCGGCCTTACTAGGTATAAGAGGACTGCTGCTGTCACCCTTCAGCCTGCTTCTCCTCTGGGGTTTCCATCTCAGTAGGTGGCATTGTCATCAACCTAGGAGTCATTTCTCAGGACCCGAACCTTGCAGTCATTTCTATTCTCTTTTTCACCCACTATATCAATTTCCGATTAGCTCTATTTTCAATATGTTTTGGATCATACCACTTTTTTTTTTTTTGAGACAGACTACAGGCATGCACCACTATGCCCGGCTAAAATATATATATATATATACACATATATATATATATTTTAGCTGTCCAATTAACTTCTTTCTATTTTTGGTAGAGACAGGGGATCCTATCACTCTTTATAGGCCTATTATTACCCCACCAGTCCAAGCCAGCATCATCTTTAGCAACTGCAAAAGACTTTTTTTTGAGACAGTCTCACTTCGTTGCTCAGGCTAGAGTGAGTGCCGTGGCGTCAGACTAGCTCACAGCAACTTCAATCTCCTGGGCTCAAGCGATCCTACTGCCTCAGCCTCCTGAGTAGCTGGGACTACAGGCATGCGCCACCATGCCTGGCTAATTTTTTGTATATATATTTTTTTAGTTGGCGAATTAATTTCTTTCTATTTTTTAGTACAGACAGGGTCTCGCTCAGGCTGGTTTCGAACTCCCAACCTTGAGCAATCCGTGTGCCTTGGCCTCCCAGAGTGCTATGATTACAGGCGTGAGCCACCGCGCCTGGCCTAAAGACTCTTGATAGAGCTCCTTGTCTCCTTGTCTGAGTGGAAAATAACCTTCAGCTTATTTTCCACTCAGCTGCCAAAGTGAGTCTTTAAAATGCAAACCAGGTGATGTCACTTCCCTGCTCAAAACCCTTCAATGGCTCCCCCTCACACACAGAACCAAATCCAAACCCCTTCCCTGTCCAAAAGGCCCCAAGTGATTTGACATCTGCAGATCTTATTTCCTAGCGCTTTCCTTCTTACTCAGCTCCAGCCATCCTGGCCTCCTTTGCTATTTCTTGAGCATCTTATTTATTTATTTTTTTTTCTTTTGAGACAGGGTCTCACTCTGTTGCCCAGGCTAGGGTGCAGTGGCGTCATCACAGCTCACCACAATTTCAAACACCTGTGCTCAGGTGGCCCTCTTGCTTCAGCCTCCCAAGTAGCCTGCCACCATGGCTGGCTAATTTTTTAATTTTTTATAGAGGCAAGGTTCTTGCTATGTTGCCCAGGGTGGTCTCAAACTCCTGACCTCAAGAGATCCTCCCACTTTGGCCTCCTAAAGTGCTAGGATTACAGGTGCTAGCCACTATGCCTGGCCCTCTTTCAGCATCTTGAGCTTTCAAAACACACCCCTGCCTCTGCACTTTAGCCTTGCCAGTCCTTCTGTATGAGGGACTCCTTCCCAAGATAGCCCCACGGCTCTCCAGCTCACTTAGCTCAAATATCAGGCTTTTCAGACCACCCAGTCAAAAGAAGCACCTCCATAGCTCTGTTTTATTTTCTTCATAGCATTGTCATGACTTATTTTATATGTGCATATGTATATATACACATGTATGTATGTAAAGTCATTTACAGTCTGTTTCCTGTATAAACTCTATGAAGGTGAGGACTTTGTTTTGTTCATTACTGGATTCCCATTAAGACTAGCACTAGGGGCCGGGTGTGGTGGCTCACGCCTGTAATCCTAGCACTCTGGGAGGCCAAGGCGGGAGGATTGCTCAAGGTTGGGAGTTCGAAACCAGCCTGAGCGAGACCCTGTCTCTACTAAAAATAGAAAGAAATTCATTGACCAACTAAAAATATATATATACAAAAAATTAGCCAGGCATGGTGGCGCATGCCTGTAGTCCCTGCTACTTGGGAGGCTGAGGCAGGAGGATCGCTTGAGCCCAGGAGATTGAGGTTGCTGTGAGCTAGGCTGATGCCACAGCACTCACTCTAGCCTGAGCGACAAAGTGAGACTCTGTCTCAAAAAAAAAAAACCAAAACCAAAACCAAAAAAAAAGACTAGCACTAGGTACCTTGTATAGTTATCAAAAAAATAGTTTTCAACACGTGGAGAGTTTTCCTTGTGTTAAAACTGGCTTTGGTTTAGTCAAGTACTCCAATCACTACCAAAATAAGTCCTAAACAAAAAAGTGAGTAGGGAAGTTACATAGAATTAGTTATTCTATATTTCATATACTTTGCAGAAAACATACAAGTCTAAATTTGAAAACAGGGGTATTTATTTTTAGTCAGGAAACCTAGTAAAATGTTTTTTATCCAGGAAATCTAGCAGTAGTATAACAGAAAAAGTGCCTTTTATTTCATCGGAGTGCTGGAAGAAATAGGTATTAAAAACAACAAAAAAAGTTTCTGCATTTAAAACAATCAAGGGATTAGTTACTTGGTTGAAATATTTGTAACAAATGAAAAGAGAAAAACGTTTTCCCTGGTTTTATTTATTACTACATGGCTCTGTATAAAGAAATTATGATATTACTGGGATAAAATTGTTTTGAGACTAAAATTAAAAGGAAAAGTGACATCAGAGTGATAATAAGCTAAAAAAACACCAATTCCCTCCCTTAATGGTTATTTTGGTAAAAGTCTCAGACTGTGGTTCCAAAATAATAAATGAGCACATGAGACTTAAATTCACCATAAAAATAAAGTTGTTTTTACCTACTGTATGTTTAAATTATGACAGCTACTATGAGCCATGAAAAATAATTTTATAACGTCATAAAACTGTGGAATCCAATCAATACAAAAGAGTATATGGGTAAATTCCAGTAGATAACTCTCTGAACCTTTCTTATTTTATCTGTGTTTTTTCCTATGGCACTCAATAACTTTCTATATATTCTTTGGAGATACCGACATTTTTGGACACAGGATTTTTGCTTGTTTCATCTTTGCAGTCTCCTACAGGGTTAGCACAATGACCGGACTACTAGGTTCATCTTTTCTGAATTAAAGAATGAGCAGATGATGCAGAGAATTAAAGCTGGGGAAATAATGGCCTTAAACACTGCATAAATATAATAATGAATATATATTTGGAGAGTCTAAATGAGTCCACAGTTACTGCTTTTTATAGCATACCCTAAGAGGGGAGCATAGAGACCTAGATTAATCTATAAATACACTCTATTTTGTTTCTCAGTATTTATCACTACTGTCATAAAGCAATCATTTAGGTAGCCATTTGTTAACATCTGTCTTCTCCACTTCAAATTCCACGGGGTAAGGACTGCATGTGGTGCCGTAGAGCCTCAGCATTTCACAACAGGAGGGGCCCAACAAATGTAATTTGAATCAATGAATACAGTTAGGGCTGTGCCACTGCATAACTTGAAAATGACTGGAAGCCAAGTGCAGTGGCGTGCATCTGTAATCCCAGTTAGTTGGGAGGCTGAGGCAGGAGGATCGCTTGAGTCCAGGAGATTTAGTTTACAAAGTGAGCTATGGTCACACTACTGAGCTCTAGCCTGGACAGAGTGAGACCCTGTCTCTAAAAAAAAAAAAAAAAAAAAAAAAAATGACTGGGTCCCCTTCCCCTTCCTAGCTGAGTTCACCAGGCACTCACGGCTTCACAAAAGCTACCAATCTATTTTTCATTGGTTTTAGGATACATACTTTTTCACATGCATTTTACACTTAATAGTGTCTTAGTAACACGTATAGTTCAATTGGAAGTATTTTTTTCTTTCTTGAGTACTACATAAAATAACAGTCTTAACAAATGATGTTTTCCAATGAATGAAATACAGTTACTGTTCATTTTATTTTAGTATGAAAAATAAAAACTTCAGGTACTTACATCAATTAAATCTGAAAGATCATGAATATAATACTTGAAAACTGAGGCATTAGTTGCTTCAAGCGTTAGAAGATACTCATTCCGGGCCTTAATTGATTTTAGCTTATTTTCTGAATATTTTGCTTGTCTCTGAAATGAAGAAGATCCAGGCATCGGGAAAGAAAGCAAAGTCATTTTTAAACAAGACAGAAAAAACACACATGAATTTTTTATTAATCTAAACAATTTATTCCACATATACAAATGACCATTGAAGTCCTTTGCCCAAAGTGCATTTTGAATCTGATTTAAACAAACTAAAATTACCCAGCTACGGGGAATAACAACGATGTATTTGGGTTGGGCTTCAGGCCCATTTGCAATGAAATCTCTTTGTTAATATTCAAGTTCTCCACATTGTGTATTGAATACTTGGCATTCAGCACTGAATGATGTCCAGCTGTTATTACATGATTTTTACATTTCTTAAACGTTTTCCATTCCCATGGGAGGAAATGCATGTCATTTCGCAATAATTTACAACGTGCATATATCAGCTATTACATCAGGGGTTCTTAGTATTGTTCTCCTCAAATGAGAACAGAAAGGCTCTGCAATATATTTTTACTTACCTTTTCTTTCATTTTTTCAATTTTCTTCACAGAGCTTCGCCGCTGGTGCCTCTCTTCCAGTCTAATGTGGAAGACTGGATCACCAGATCTCCCAATTTGCTTTTCCTCTTGTTTCTCGGCCTCTTTCAGCTTGCTCTCGGCACTGATGCTCTCTGCATGATACATATGGTATGTTTTCATCACCTGTGGAAAAGTGACCCCAAATTGTTAAAAGATGTCTGCCTGTAACCTAGAGAGCGAATGGGAACCCTTATAGGACATACATGTTAAAAGCACCAGCTTCCAACTGGCAGGGGGAAAGGCAGATTGTTAGCAAAATGGGTGAATTATGGACTACCGCTTCTACATAAAGCAAACAGAAATATGCAAATTTACCTGCCAGGAAGAAGCACTTGGGGGACAGGCTTTGATGAAAAAATGATTTACTGGGTCTTATGCATACTTTTCAATGTACTTGAAAAGTTCTCTTAAGCTTGTAAGTGTTTCTCTAAAATCTCCTCTGTATTATTAATTTGCAGGGAAAAAATCATTTACTCATGAATCAATTTTAGCCCAAGCAAAACTCCAAATTAGTACAGTTCTTATTAAAGGCATTTTATCGCATAAAATCTACCTGTCAAAAAACATAAATATTAAGGTTTATACATAGTTTTAGTTTAAAAAAAGATGTTTTTTGGACTACAGAGTAATATTTTATGCTCAATAAAGAAAACATATGGTACCAAAGAAAGAAAGAAAGAAAGAAAACAAAAAACAAGCAAAGATAACCATTGTTGAGATTTTGGTATACAGTCTTCCAGTCTTTTTCTTATGAAAATACACACACACACTTCTTCATTTTAAAAGGCCATATATAAATTCTCCTTTCAAAAAACTGGGATCATCCTGTATTTGTAATTTATAATGTCCCTTTTAACTTAATACATCAAAACATTTTCCTATATCATCAAATATTCTTCTAAAATATAATTTTAAGGGCTGCATGGCATTTTTCTACATGACTGTGACATAATTTATCTAATTCCCTGTTGCTGAAAATTTTAGGATATTTCAATGATTTGCTTTATAAATAAAGTTATGTTGAAAACCCTTGGTGTATATCCTATTTCTTTTCTTAGAAATTATATATATCTATATAATTTGTATTTTAATACATTTAGGAATATATCAAACATAAAAATTTTATAATGTATTATTTCCATGTATATTATGAACTTATATAATGAATCCTCAAATATTAAAAATTTTGGCTGCACTGTTGTCACAAAAGCGTTATTGCATAAAAATTGTGTCATATTTCCTAGGATAAATGTCCAGAAGTGTAATCACAATGTCTAAGACGCTGCACATTTTTGGGACTTAGAAATAATTATGTTGCCAATTTTATACTCTGCTAGTTAAAACAAACTGATCTAGAGAGTTATCTCTGAAAGTACTTTAGATAACATAGGTATTTAACAAATATTTTCTCAAATAATGATTACATGTATTCATTATTTAGTCACATAATATTTATTAATATAAATCTGTTTATAGTCTCAGTGTTCTTAGATATAGAAGAATCAGTCACAGATATTTCAGAGATTTTTATCTGAAAATCATAGTTTTCCAACATAATCATTCTCAACCACAGAGGACATATTTCGCTACATTTGCAAATAACCACAAGTAATTCAGAGCCAATTTCATAACTAAAGTGTAGTTGTTAAGAAGTTGAGATTAATGCAACATGTAAGTAATGAACTTGATTTTTCTCATTTCAAGGGATGAGTCTTAAAACAGTTTGAGACCTGGAAGTATCACTGGAATAAATATATTTATTTAGGTTAAAACATATGCAATCATTGTTTCTGTAGGTTATTTAAAAAGGTGAACAATCAGCACTTTCTTATAGTTCATCTTAACAGACGTTCTGAAGATGACTATTTTGAAGAGTACAACATGGGGTTAATGAAGAGCCTTTACTCATGTTCATAAATTCTGATGATGTCTTTCCTTAAAAATGTAAGCTAGCAAATCATGTCAAAGGCATTACTGACCATGGTAGGGGCTGAACTACAAAGCACTGGCAGCTTTTTCTGTGCTGTGTGTAACTGGAAAGTTGTCTGTTTTTTAGTAATTATGGAATCTATCCAGGGGAAGTTTGGTTGGCTACTCCAGTTTGAAAGAAAAATAAAATAGCATTAGAAAGCAGTTGGGCAGCTGGGGAATGAGGAGGGAGTCACCCTGCAGCTGGGCAAACAGTGAGGTCAATGAACCTGCTACACACCTTGCATTTATTTCTAGGCTTGGCTCTGTTTATATGCCCTGCCCGAAGCAAACCCACATACCACTTGGGTCCTGGTTCCAGTTACATCTTAAAATGAGAGGGTGAAAAAAAACCAAACACACACACACACACACACACACACACACACACACATACACTCTTGCTCAGCTGCCTGTATTCTTCTTGCTAATAGGAAGGAAGAAATGAGAACACGTGACTCCCATCATACTTGGATAAAAGGCATCCCAGAGAGTCCCAGGTAATTGAGAAATGTCTCTTTTAAATACATCACAAAGAAAAGACCTGAACTCCTGATTCTTGCTTTACCCGGATACCGAGGACTAGTATAAACAGATAATTTATACAAACTAAACCTTAGCAGAAGAGAAAAGATACTGAGCTGACTGCCAGCAGGGCCTTTCTCATTACCTAGTCTGGGTTAAGAGGAAAACGTTTGAGTCTGGCCTCACACTAGCAAGAAGAGGGTGTGGTTCAGAACAATACCTGAAGATTCTCTACCTAGTTCAATGGTAATTTCCAGAAAATGAATTTCTTTGTTCAGTTTTCCAATTTGACGTAGGATTTTCACTATTCTCTAAAATGTGAACAGTTACGATGAATGCATTTTAAAACTTGGGGAGAAGAAACGCTAAAAGCTTTTCGAGAATTCTAATTGCAGATAATGAATGCAAGTACAAACTACATTATTTAAAATGTAAGCTGTTGACAGAAGTCAAATGAGTTTTGTGTTTAAAATAACAGTTCTCTTTTGTTAGAGAAGTAAAAGAACTTTTATTTTCCAAAGGTGCGTTTTAAGTACATACTGCAAAAGGAAAATGACAACTTCTCCATCAGTGTATTGCAAACACAAGCCTTTGCATACCAAATGATGTCATAGGCATATATCCATTTAAACGTACTCTCATAGCATGTTTTCCTATTTGATTTCTTCTCTACTAAAACTTCGTGCATAATTCTCCATTCAACACACTCAACCTATTTTCCTTGCTCCATCTTTCCTTGCCTGCAGGAAAAATATAGTCACATAGAAAATGATTTCTTTATGAGACTGGGATATCCCACATAATAATGTCTGCACAGAAGCTGTTAATATTTTTTTCTTACTGACAGGCCAGTATCATGTATCTGACACTGCTCTTGTTCTTTAAATCAAAATAATTTGCCTGGTGTGGTGGCTCACACCTGTAATCCCAGCTACCTGGGAGGCTGAAGCAGGAGGATCACTTGAGTCCAGGAGTTCAAGGTTACAATGAGCTATGATCCTGCCATTACATGCCTGCCTGAGTGACAGAGTGAGACCCTGTCTCTAAAAATAAAAACAAAAAAATTAAAATTATTAAAATACCTGTAGTAAATTTCCAATATTTAGTGTGACAAAATCATTGTGTATCTGAAGACTACATATATGTTTGGGAAGATCAGTGGATGAAGACTATAATTTCTGTTTTTTAACTTCTGGTTCGGAAGTTAGAAAGCATGAATCCCCAAAATGGATCTACCTATTACTAAATGTGGGAAAGTTAGTTAATGCCTCTGCTCACCTTACAAGGTTGTTGTGGTTGCCAAATTGTGTATTCCTGTGTGTGAGCGTTTAACTTAAACTTCACTGAGTACTTACTATATATGTGTATATCTATGTATACGATATAAATAGTAACCACTATACAGATATGTACAGATATATAGGTATATATTTAGTGTAGCAAGCATTATACGTTTTCTATGTGCTAGACAATTGTTCTATGCATTTTACAAATAGTAACTTATTTAATCCTTCTAGGAACTCTTATGAGGTAGGTACATTTATTCTCCCCATTATACAGATGAGAAAACAGGAGCATAGAGAGGTTAAGCAACTTGCCCAAGATTACACAGCTGGTAACCGGCAGGGCAATGGCTGGAACCCTGGCAGTCTGGTCTCACATTAAATTTGTTGGACTGCTATGCCATAACCTTTGGAAAGTCTAGTATTACACGATTGAAAAGCCTGTTTATCTAAGAAATATAGTTACTTTTGGTTATATATAGGAATGGAGATAAAGAGGAGTAATAATTACCTATTTATTCAATTATCTGCTGGGTGCTTACCACCCGTAAGGCACTGATGGATGCAAAAATATAGACTTGGTTTCCATCTTCTAAGAGTTTAAAATGTTGGAGACTAAAAAATGGGCCTTAGATATCCTGATGGGCACAGGTGAAGGGAGAGGGCATCCATCCAGGCTAGAAGGACGGTATCAGCCAAGGTATAGTGAGGGGGTTGGGGGAGCACACAGATGAGGTGGGCGTGAGCAGACCAAGATAGCCGAGAAGGGGGTCCAGGGAAGAGCTTGGAAAGTGGATGGGTGGGTAATCGAGCTGAAGGGTATGGCTGGACAAGTTGGCCCAGGCCAGATCAGAAGAGCCTTGAAACCCCAACTGAGAAGTGCAGAATGTATTCTGCAGGAGTTTGTGAATCCACAGAGGTGCGGACAATATGGTCAAGGCAATATTTTAGTAATAATGTGCTGGAGATATGCAGGGTGGCTGGGGGTGTGACGTGACCTCATTTAGTGTGGAAGAAGATTGGGAACAGAAAATAAGAAAAAGAATCCACATAGCAGGTACAGGGCCTTTTCTCTGTTATCATTCTCTTTGACCTTTTCTTAAACTTGACATGATTCTCCCTTACCATGGAGTTCAGTTTGGTCTCCACATCTGTCCAGGCAGCTCTTTGTGTGCCACTCTGAGTCAATCACCATGGCTCCCTCCCCAGAACTTGTACTTTCCTGCCGCCTGAGTGGCCCTCCCCAGCACCTTGCCTTTTGACATTTGACTCACCCACCATGGCAAGTTCAAGTTGCACCTACTGCTAAGTGTTTCCTGCTTCCCCTCAGCCAGAGTGATCTTCTTC